AATGTTTCTCATCCAGAGCTACAAAGACAACTTCTGGCAGCTACAGGTGTGAACGTTTCAGTTGAAACTCTAAGTAAAAGGATTCGTGTTCGAGGGTTGTACAGTAGGAGAGAGTTACGGCTCCTACAGTTATCTTGGCTAAATAAAATTGACCGGCTAAATTGTTCTTTTTTCGGATGAGACCTGAATTGGCCTAAGATCCGATGACCATCAAATTCGGGTTAGGAAGACGAGCGAGACTCCAGGCTGCCCAATCTGTACTAAGATATAAAGGAGGAACAGGAATGTTCTGGGGAGGTATTATGCTGGGAGCAAAAACTCTATTGTTATCACTTTAACAAACTTTAACGGTTCGGAGGTATGTTAATTTAGTGCTAAAACCAATTGTTGGGCTTTGGAGAGTGGAAATTGGGGATAACTTTAACTTTATGCACGATAATGCACATACCCGTACCTGCAGAGTGAGTAGAGAATGTCTTGAAACGGAAGGTGTCATAGTTTTGGACTAGCCTGCATGTTCACCAGATCTAAACCCTATCAAACACTTGTGGGCCCAGCTCAAAAGAAAGCTTGCAGAAACAATTCAAGAAATCTCGTCCAGCTTATTGGTGCAACAATAGCAGAATGGGAAAACATACCCCAAGATAACATTGATAATTTAATAAAAAGCATGCCAGCCCAGATAGAAGCTAGAACAAGGGCTAGAGGTGGCAACACGGATTATTGAAATAATTAATTTTCTTTTTGTTTTTGGTTTTTGACCATTAAAAACTTAAATCTTATTTCTACTGGTTTTTTTATTGCTTTATATGGATTATTTTTCAATAAAAATCTTTGGTAAGGACTGAGTGTTAGCCATAAACACAAAATGTTCATGCACATATAAGTTTGCTTGTGTTTATTATCAATATCTAAGTGTTGTTAGGTTCTAATTTACAGTGTTAGTTTGAATATTTATACTTTATTAGTGTCATGTTAACTTACTTTTCTAAGAGAACAATTCTAATAACGATAAAATAAGAAGAAAACAAATATTAGAGAATAGGATGGGCAAGGCATTGTATATTTTTTACATCACAACACAATGACTTAAAAAATATCGAAAGTTTTGAATTCAAAACCATGACGCAGAGTAATTTGTTATTTTTAAGGTTTGTGACACAGAAAAATTTAATCGTGGCTTAACTCTAAATAAACAGACGCATGTAAATGGTATGCAATTGAAATTCTATTTTGGCAAAAACCTCATGAACCGCACTTCAACCTGTCAGAATTTAGCTGAGTAAACACCGAAATATTTCAGCTCGGTTATTCAAAATTTCTAAATTAAGATCGAACAGTGCGATACGTGAAAGTGAATGATGCGTTTGAGGATTAATGCAATCAGATTGCTCGCAGACGACCTATTTAACTGAATTTAATTTGGACAGTGAATTTTCTCAAGGTCTATTGAATTTCAGCTATGCAGTAGCAGTTAGGTCAAATATTCAGCAGCGATTTAATACATTACAAGGTTTTAACCAAAATTATATATTGTCAAAGCAGTGACTAAAGAATACAAGGATCAATAACACCCGAGACCAAATTGTTACAGTGTCTCCAAACACATATTTTTCTTAGCTTAACTGTTTGAAGAGATATTTATATTTTTGATAAATGTTTTGACTACACCTATGGTGTACGCTGCTTATTAAGCTAAGAGATACAAGGATCAATAACACCCGAGACCAAATTGTTACAGTGTCTCCAAATACATATTTTTCTTAGCTTAACTGTTTGAAGAGATATTTATATTTTTGATAAATGTTTTGACTACACCTATGGTGTATGCTGTTTATTAAGCTGGTATCATACTAATTAATTATAAAAAAAAACTATTAAAATATTAAAATATTAACAAAAGATACAAAACTAGTATCAATGTATATAAAATAGCACAAATAAATAAATACAAGTACATACACTAATCGGCAAAAGTCTTGCACCCCCCAGATAAATTTATTTCTTTGCATAGCGTATTCTTGTAGCTATGTGTACAAATACCTTAATATCTGTCTACAAAAAATAGGTCATAAAAGCAATGAAAGAAAACTTATTGATGGAATGTATATGGTTTTGCTATTTGCGGTCAAATTTTGTTTCTCAGTTCGAGTTCAATCTTGTAGTAAGTGTTGTGAAAGGCGACAAAAATGCCAGGGCACGAAATTTCTGCCTTCGATAGGGCCCGAATTATCGCTTTGTATGAAGAAGGTCTCAGCAGGCATGAAATTGCTGATCGTTTAAATTTCGTGTGAAGTACTGTAAGCCGAATTATACAACGGTATATGGACACCGGAAATGTAAGATCTCGTGCTGGGTTGGGCCGTACAAGGGTGAAACGTACTGAACGACAGGATCGCTACTTGGCTCAATTTACCAGAAGAAATCGGTCAGTTCCAATTCGAGAGCTACGATCTCAGTTTCAACGAACTTACCACCGAGTGATATCAAGCCGAACCATTCCCTGGCGACTTTCTAATGCTGGATTGCGGCGTAGACGTCCACTGCGAGTCCCTCTATTAACTTTACACCATGGGCAAAGGAGGCTACAGTGGGCTAGAGAACACCAGAATTGGTTATTACCTCAGTGGAGAAACGTAATTTTCATTGACGAAACCAGGATTGGTTTGATCAGTGATGACTATATCGCCAGCGAGTATGGAGGGAGGCAGCATTGCTTGAATACAACCCTTGCTGTTGCTCCTTATTAGGAGGAACTGAGATGTTCTGGGGTGGCATCATGTACAATAGACGAACAGAGCTCATTCATATACTTGAGGTGATAAACGTCCATTTGTATGAGGAAACTGTAATTAGACCAATAATTTTTCCACTGCGAGAAGAAATCGGCAATAATTTTATTCTCATGCATGATAACGCTCGTCCTCACAGACCTAGGATGGTCCAGGAAGCATTAAATGAAGGGGAAATAACTCGTCTGGACTGGCCTCCACTCTCCCGTGACATCAATCCTATTGAACATGTCTGGGACTACATCACCAGAGCTGTATTTCGCAGAAATAACCCACCAAGAAATCGCCAGGAGTTGATCATTGCCGCTCAAGAAGAATGGCAGAACTTACCCCAAGAAACCATAAACAACCTTATAGTGTGGAGGCCCCGATGACTTGATGCACTCATAACAAATCGAGGAGACAATACTTTATATTAGTAACCTTAATTTTGTCAGAATTTATTATTTATTTACATATTTTCTCTTTTTTGTCAAACATTTTTCTTTATGGAATTTGCATTTTTTTTTGTATTTTGGCAAAATATATTACTAAACTTGGTGAAAGTTTTTCCTTTTTTGTGTTATTTTTTAACATAACTTTAGCATCTATTGATTTCCACGAAAAATTAGTTTGAAATGTAATTTTTTATTAAAATAGTAAGGGGCTGCAAGACTTTTGCCAATGAGTTTATAATATCAGAAAAAAAATTATCAAATTGAGTAAGAAAACGCAAAAAAGGTTGAGTGGACTGTTTATCATATACTCTAAATAATAATCATTCGTTTTAAAAACAGTGTGTACACTGTGTACGCATATTTGAAGTAAAACTTCTTACTAACAGCTATTAAATTAAAGGATTTGAAGGACATGTTTGAAAAAGTGACTTATAATACTTTTTTAATATAAATATTATTTTCAATTTTTTTCTGTAATCTGTACATTTTCGGTTTCCTCAATAGTCTGAAAATGTTGTGGAATACCACTCAAAATACACACTTTTATAAATGCCTAATAATGTTAACGCTTAAATTTAAGAAAAGAAAAAATTTTGAACCTAACCAACAATTCGTATTTATAGTGGTTTACAGTAATTTTGTTAAACTATACGAATATTCTCGTTGACTATTGGTGTGAAATAAATATGACAGTATCCTGCAATGAAAATGCGAGTTACTGACCCTAATAATTCTAATTCTAAGCTGGTAACTAAGCTAGATGCTTTTCCTAGACCGTTATTCAGAAGCTACAAACCTATCGATGAAAATATGCATGAAAATTTGTTTCCTATCACACAACTAGAGGATATTGGTATACAGGTACAGTCAAGTTTATTACACTGATTTTCTTAGCCGCGTATATGGCACAGATTGTTACTCAGAGCGAGTTAAATTGTCTTACAAAGGGGTAGATCTACCTCGAAACGGGTAGCTGTGGCAACACTGCCTTTACCATTTTTCCTGACGCTAGTTCATGATACTATTAACAGAGGATAAGATAATGCGCATGTAGTGGGCGGAGCTTAACAGAAAATTACTACTCAGGTGACGTCATGCGCACGGAAAACCGATTTGCGACCGCCGAAGATCTTATCTTTGTTTATTGTATTATGACGCTAGCTCTTGTGTCAATAGCATGAATTTTTACTCCCAACGCGCGTAAAGAACTTTCACTTCAATAATGTCATAATATTAATTTCGGTAGATTTCTGTTGTTTATTTTTCGTGTCAAACTCTTTCAATAACTCTTTCTTTTATCCTCTTTAGTTTTGACGTCATCCTTAAACCAGTTTGATTGATCAAGAACGGATGGATCCCACACAAAGAAAAATGTTTATCGGAAATGTAATTCGTTAAGAACAGTCATACGCGGCGTCTACGTCAATGATATCGGCGATTTTAAAAATAGCAAATAAAAATTCGCGCATGGCCCGCCCGCCAATGACTGCCTATCTATCGCTCATTCGGACCAAAATAGTCCGCGCTGGTCATCCAACAAAACGATTCGATATGGGATCGAACGAAATTTGGACTTTTTTCATCTATTCACTCGCCATCGTCTTAATCGGTGTATATTTCGCGATTTTAAGCTGAAAACTTAACTATAACATTCTCCTGGACACATGTATACTCACTTATATTCACAACAAAAAGGTTATATACTATAGAAAAAAACACAATTTTTGAAATGTAAAGTTTCGATTTATTTATTTATTTTTTTCTATTTCAGACGAACGACATAAAGCCAGTAGATAAGTAGCCGAGCAAATTAAACACAAAACGACATCATGTTTAAGAATCACTTGGAAATGATCAGTCTCAACGAGACCCCATCGAAAAAGGCCAAATTCTGGCAATCCTTTGTAAGATCTCTCAAAGGTAAGTGACAGGTTCCTGTAATGCGCCTGTTCAACGTTTAAACTGCAGATGGCGTAGGTGTATAAATATTGCCGGACCATGTATTATACCTCGACAATTATTAGTAGAATTTGAAATAGCTTTGAGACTTGCTTTGAGACATAGATTAAACAAAATAACCATATTTTAAAATAGATATGAAACTTAATAGAATAGTAAAATTTTAGGCCAATTTTGCGCCCTCCGTGTCCTTAGTCAAAACTATGTTTAACCCAGCGCGCCTTTGCCTTTTTTGCTCTAAAAGTTTTTTATATTTATATTTGAATTCAAAGGATTTAGTTTTAAAGTTACTCTGATACATAAGTATATGTCAGAGTAACTTTAATAAGACATAAAAATAGATAAATTTTACAGTTTATTAAAAATACATTTTGACTTCAAGCTAGTAATAATTATATCACAATATTTTTGATAACACTTTTAATATGAAAAATATTCACGGGAGTGTAATAAAACAATTTAAAAACTTTACCTTTCGATGTTGAAGACGTTTGAATATCCATAATAGTTTATTAAAAATACATTTTGACTTTAACTTAGTAATAATTATATCACAATATTTTTGATAACACTTTTAATATGAAAAATATTCACGGGAGTGTAATAAAACAATTTAAAAACTTTACCTTTCGATGTTGAAGACGTTTGAATATCCATAATAGTTTATTAAAAATACATTTTGACTTTAACTTAGTAATAATTATATCACAATATTTTTGATAACACTTTTAATATGAAAAATATTCACGAGAGTGTAATAAAACAATTTAAAAACTATACCTTTCGATATTGAAGACGTTTGAATATCCATCATAGATGAGACTTTTTATTATTTATACTTTTTAAAATTTAAACAATCACTGGTTTAATAAATTTTGCTGGGTTAAATTACCTTTATCAAAAAAACAATAAAACTTTACTGTAATAAAAAAATACTAAAATAATAAACCAAGTTTAGGAATGAAATAAATATAATTTATTTTACTTTATGTGCTAAAATTAAAATAAAATGTAGTTCTATTTAATGTTGTAGCTCATAAAGGTTGTTTATACAATTTAATTGTCGGTATAAAAATCTTGAATGCCAAGAATGTAGAATATAAAAATATTTACGTTTGTTTAACCTTTGAAATTTACGTCATTGTTGTAGAAAAACACGTTATAGTTTGGTACATAAACACGTATTTTATTAATGGTCTATATTTAAATTTTATAAACTGTACTATCCCATAACCAAACATAAAATTAAAATATAAGTTAATAGAAAACCACATAACTTATATTTTTTATATTAACGCTAAACTTTTATTAAAGTTATCGATCCCCCCCCCCTCATAATGAATAAATGAAATTAAACTTAAATACTATAAACTAAATTACTAACAACTCCAACTTATAAATTTTTGTAGTTAAATAAATAAGATACATTAGGGTTGAACTATAAAGAGTATTGAATAATCATAAACAAATAAATTGTGGAAAATAAAATTTAAAATAGCTTTTGAAATCAAGCGAACTTAATAATAATATGATTTTGGTAATTTCAAATAAAAAGGCAGAAAATACATTAAATGAAAATTATTGAAACTATATAATTTTTGTTAAAATATTTTTATGCGAATATTACAAAATTATAATTGAGTGATTTCTAATCACTTTAATGTCCCAAAATATTGATACTGCAATTTGAACTTTTGTAATTAATTTCCTTGTAATCTTTATTTTCAAAGTAGTTTATTTTAGTTTACAAAGAAATAAGTTGGTACAATTGGAGCGCATAGCAGAAAATTAATATACTATTTAAAATTTCAATGACAAGTGATGATGACAAGGCAGGCACGTATAGCCGCCCATACTAAAATATGTTAATAAAAAGCAATTTTTTTTACCTCAAAAACTGCGACTTTGACTGATTTTGATGTTATTACAAATTTTGTTTCAAATATTATTCCTAATCTTAAATTGAAAACCGCGTTTCGCTAGCTACTGTAATTTTGGAGTTACGATTTTTAAAAATTTTTAACCCCCTCCCATACCCCCCTACCAACCTTGGTTAAAATCGGTTTAGAGCTTTTTGAGTTATCGTGTTAAAGACGGACAGACGGACAGACGGACAGACGGACAGACACAATGAAAATATTTTGTATTTGTGCCATTTATGACCCAAATAACTCATTTTGAGTGAAATTAAAAAAACTTTTCTTTCTATCTTAATAGCCTACCATAGCTGTTGGTATGGTCGGCTAAAACTGTATAAAATTGAAAAAATCTAATCGATTTATTTTATTAAAAACAATTACAGAATGTGTTATTACAAAACAAGCAAAGGTGCATTTAAAAAAAAACACCACATACCAAAAAAAGATATAAAAACGATTTCCTGCTTTAAAGTCGTGTTTCAAGCTCAAGCGGCTTCTTGCATTTATTGTTACATTTATAAATACAACTTGTAATATAAAAATAAAAATATATATATATATTGCAAAGGAATAAATAAAACACAACATATATAAAATAAAATATTTTATTATTAATAACACTTTATACCTTAAAAGTTGGTTAAAAGAATTTTATACCTGAAAAGTTGGTTAATTAACTTTAATTTTTGTAAACCAGTACCTTTTGACATGATATCTCTGCAGTACTAAAATTTATAATTTACTCATCGTCTACTTCTATTTTACAGTTTTTGGTATCATATACGAGATGGTATACAAACTTTATTTGTCGCTAATACAACTCTCTGGCCATAAACTCTAGCGGTCTCTGGGCACCGAATATATATTATATATTAACTATGGTCTGAGTCAGCACTTAATTTTCATCGAGTTTTCATCCACTTAATTTTAAAAAACACGAAACACACGTAATAACACAGTCGAAAATGCAAAATGCAAAATATTTATCATTGTTGGCAAGAGTTTGACAATTCAAAACTCAAAAATCTTAAGTCGAGTTCATACGCATCAGCGTCCGTTTGTCGTTCATCGTCCCGTCAAACCAATAACATTAAAATATGATCTGTCATTTTTAAAATATACTAATAAAACTGGTTAAAAACAATAAGAGATGATGCCATGACGGATTTATATACATATAAACTCATCCATAGGTAACTTAAATAATATTAAGAACTTATTATAGTGAAATAAATGGATTGTTATGGATGCCATCTGCTTTTTTTGTTATCGTCTGTCGAAATCTTACCTGAAAAAAAAACAGGGTATTCTAAATTATTTATCTTATTTTCATTGCAGGATCCGATGACCTGAGAGCCTCCGACCCCGTATCCGCCAGACCCAGAGGCATCTTCCGACCAATCAGCGACCTGCCCGAACTGTCCAGCGGCTGGCCCTTCGGCAAGTCTATCTACGACGAGCCCAGCCACGCCGCCGAGCGCATCCACGTTCCCGGATACCGTTACGATCCCCTCCACCGCGACACGTACGGATACTCGCCCAGGCCCATCTTCCCACACAACTACGGATCCTTAGACAGATACAGGCCCGGTAAGTCGACCTATTACAGGCGCTAAACAACATCGAATTGTAAAGGGCTTCGTAAAAACGGTCAGAATTACTAAAAACAAGAAAACGACCATCCTAAAATCCGATATTATGAAAACTAAGTTTGGCGATTAAGAAATAATCTTATATTCTACCGTTTTTCAGCCCTATTTACATTAAAACTATTTAAGAAATCTGCCGTTGAGAGTGCCTTTAATGAACTATTTTACGTTATATTAGTAGCTTGTGTCGTTCGCTAAAGCCAACACATAAAATTTATGTATTATATGTTGATATGTATATGTATTAGAAATGTAAAATATGACTGTATGTAATCTACGTATGATATAATTTGATAATGACGATTGTACAGCCTAATCACTCAATAAATATTTTCTAAAAGTATTTGGACACTGCGCGCCCCCCGCAAACGCTTGAGCTGACTTGATTCACGTGATACATCTGTCTCCGTTTGTTTAATTCGATCCATGTAGCCTACTTTTTACTGTATATAACAAGTCTATCAAATTTATTTTATATACTATACAGGGTTGTTTATCTAATTCGATACGGAATATTACCAGACGATTAGATTTTTAGAAATTGTGAGTGATTATGAGCCAATTTAAAATTATTTTCAAAAGGTTCAGAGTGTCTCAAATGAATAAAAAATATCAAGATTGTATTTTTTTAAATGGAACATCGTGTATATTATTACATTTTTAGTTTCTGCGATTAAAATAAAGGCAAATTTATTCAAGTTTTTCATTTACCGCACTTTAATATTACTGTTTTTGAAAGATTTGCGATTTTGTGAAAATACTGAAACAATTTTAATGCTTCTTACCCAGTGAGCATTTTATTCCTTTCAGGGAAATGTGTTTTAGGTGACGTTGTTGTTACGTTACCAGGTCCATCTTTTGCCTGTTTTGAAGCAATAAAACGTACATATGTAACTATACCCTAAATGTGACAAAACTTTGCTCACTGGGTACTCTAAGCGTATTTAAGTTTTTGAAACCAAATACTGTGTACTGAAGTTTTTCAATTTACTAGATTTTGTGTTGCAATAATAAAAATAATACTCCCTCATACAGTGTGTATAAAATATTCCATATGTACATATGGTATATTGATAAATGAGGTCTAAATTATAAAAAATGCATTTTCTACAAACACTTGAAGAGATAGGTAAAAAATGGTATAATACAATTTGATAGACAATTAAATTGCGCATCTGATTCTCGTAAAATATTCAGGGTTATTCAATTTAAATTAAACTAATTATTGTTTTGAAAGCTAGTAATTATTTAATATAAAATTTATCTCTGTATAAGCTAGTATTATTTTTAATATTTCAAACACCAAATTTAGTAAATAGGAAAACTTCAGTACAATATTTGGTTTTAAAAACTTAAATAGTAGGGTGTCCGTTATTTCCCAAGATTTTTTTTTGCTGCCGCCCTCTGAAATTTTAGTCTTTGCTCTAAAAAAGTTATCCAACGTAAACAATGCGTTGCCATACTTTTTTCAATAAAACAATACTTCCTTACCAACTTTAACATGGAAAACTAATATTGCACAATCCATTATCAATTGATCAAAACTATAATTTAAGGTTTTTGTTTCATTGCCTTTCAGTGTTCGTAAATTTACTTACGAATACTTAAATTATAGTAATAATAGTTTTCCATATCAAAGTTGGTAAAGAAATATTGTTTTATTGAAAAAAGTATGGTTCTAGATCCCTTTTTAGTCAAAATCAAAAAGCGCAATTAGAATTTACAGTGACTGATAGAAAAATTTGATTATAAAATATGTGCATAATTTTGACCGCGAATAACTTTTAATTTATAGAAAAAAAACAAAGAGACCTTTTTTGAAGAGCGAAAAATTTTATATTAGAATATGTCTTTGTCGAAGCTGTAGGTTCATTTGCTCTGGAGATAAAAAATTAAATACAAAAGGTCAGGAAATCCCATGTTATTTAACGGGAAAAGTATCATGATTCCGGCACGGTTTAAATTAAAAATTAAGAGCTTGTTTACGTGGATAATTTTTTTAGAGCAAAAACTTAAATTTTAGAGGGCGACAGCGAAAAAAAATCAACTTGGGTAATAACGGACACCCTACGCCAAGAGAAATGAAGAATTAAACTTTTTACTACATTTCACAAAATCGTAAATATTTCAAAAACGGTAATATTAAAGCGGGGTAAACCTTAATCAAATTTAAATTTATTTTAATCCTAGAAACGAAAAATGTAATAATATACAAGGTATTCGATTTAAAAAAAAATATTTTTTTCTTTAATTAGGATACTCTTCACCTTTTGAAAATAATTTTAAATTGTAGTTTTAGTAGTGTACAATATTTTGTGTTGTGTAAAGAGGTGATTAACCCTGTATATCCAATACTATATATCATAATATTTTAAATTTAATACTTAATATAATATAAAAAGGAAACTTACATTACTCTACCAAATAAACATTTCACACTATACAAGGTGTTTCAAATAGCTTTGTAAATAACAAAATTAACATATTTTTGTGTTGTCACGTTGCATAGTAAGTAGTGATTTAAAGCAACACTATGAATTTATATGTATGTTTTTAATGAAATGATGTCATTAGAAAAATATTCTTCTGATTTTACATGATTCAAAAGTACATTACCTTTAACACCAGCGTCATAGAATAATATTTTAGTACTGAGAACATGCTTTAAATTGATAAATAATTTTACTTTTATAGAAAAATAAAATAAAAGGTTTGTTATCTACAAATAAAAAAAATAACAAAATTAATATGCTTTTGAAACACTTTGTTTAGAAAGCAGTGTTTATTTTTCTTAATGTTTTGTGACGTACTCTATACAAACTTATAGTAGGCAGGCACATTTGAATGATGCACCTCCTCGCAAAAAGTAGGCTTTAATCAAATCATAATAAATTAATAATTATAGCTAACCCGGGCTTCTTAACATCACTTGTGCCGCTCCAGCATTTGCCAGGGCGATGACCGATAGTTTTCTTTTTTGATTCGACCCCCTTCCTTTTAATTTAAGAACTAGTGGAATTTTGTTTTGAACGAAGGGATTTTTGAGGGAGTCGTTCGTGAGGAATCGCCTTGGAGGTAAGAAATGTCGCTTTTCGTTCACTCATTCCAGCTCTAATTGCCTTTTAGGTACTAACAATTCAAGCATGGTTTTATAAGTAACATGTATACCTGGTGCGTCTCAAAAGTGGCTCACCCTTATAAATTTTTTATTTTTTCAGATAAAAAACAAGATTTGGTATGTTAGTATGTTGGTATGTTCACTTCCTGTTTTACCGGAAATTATTAAAAATTTTGATTTTTAAATGGCACTCTTTGTATAGTTTTTCTTTATGCCAGTGGCAACTCGTGGTCATTATTGTAGGGAGGTCAATATCTAAAAATATTGCGTCGATTTTTTTTAAGATGCGCCCTCGGACGCGCCCAAATTTAATTGGTTTCTTACAAGGTACTTGTACGTTTAGTTAAAGGAAAATAAATCTAAAAATAAATATAAATTCTGTTAAATGAAACCTACCCTTACATTTTTAAACAGGTGGTCTAGCGTCATTTCACTAAAAATCCAGTCAATGTTCTTTACAAAAATTTTCCACTGTAGGATTTAAAATACACATAAATAATAATGTCACAAAAATATAAGTGCATATACAGGGTCCGGCAATAGTGCGTCGGGCATTTGTAACTCCTAGAATAAAAAACTTAAGAATTTTGTTTAAGTGCAAATCTAAAGTATGTTTTAGGATGTATTCCATCCAAAAAGTGTGAGTGGATCGGGATATTTTTTTAAATGGACAAAAGGTCAGGAAATCCCATGTTATTTAACGGGAAAAGTATCATGATTCCGGCACGGTTTAAATTAAAAATTAAGAGCTTGTTTACGTGGATAATTTTTTAGAGCAAAAACTTAAATTTTAGAGGGCGACAGCGAAAAAAATCAACTTGGGTAATAACGGACACCCTACGCCAAGAGAAATGAAGAATTAAACTTTTTACTACATTTCACAAAATCGTAAATATTTCCAAAACGGTAATATTAAAGCGGGGTAAACCTTAATCAAATTTAAATTTATTTTTAATCCTAGAAACAGAAAATGTAATAATATACAAGGTATTCGATTTAAAAAAATATTTTTTTCTTTAATTAGGATACTCTTCACCTTTGAAAATAATTTTAAATTGTAGTTTTAGTAGTGTACAATATTTTGTGTTGTTGTAAAGAGGTGATTAACCCTGTATATCCAATACTATATATCATAATATTTTAAATTTAATACTTAATATAATATAAAAAGGAAACTTACATTACTCTACCAAATAAACATTTCACACTATACAAGGTGTTTCAAATAGCTTTGTAAATAACAAAATTAACATATTTTTTGTGTTGTCACGTTGCATAGTAAGTAGTGATTTAAAGCAACACTATGAATTTATATGTATGTTTTTAATGAAATGATGTCATTAGAAAAATATTCTTCTGATTTTACATGATTCAAAAGTACATTACCTTTAACACCAGCGTCATAGAATAATATTTTAGTACTGAGAACATGCTTTAAATTGATAAATAATTTTACTTTTATAGAAAAATAAAATAAAAGGTTTGTTATCTACAAATAAAAAAAATAACAAAATTAATATGCTTTTGAAACACTTTGTTTAGAAAGCAGTGTTTATTTTTCTTAATGTGTTTGTGACGTACTCTATACAAACTTATAGTAGGCAGGCACATTTGAATGATGCACCTCCTCGCAAAAAGTAGGCTTTAATCAAATCATAATAAATTAATAATTATAGCTAACCCGGGCTTCTTAACATCACTTGTGCCGCTCCAGCATTTGCCAGGGCGATGACCGATAGTTTTCTTTTTGATTCGACCCCCTTCCCCTTCCTTTTAATTTAAGAACTAGTGGAATTTTGTTTTTAAACGAAGGGATTTTTGAG